AATGATAGTGAATGGAACTCAGGGAAGAAATAGAAGAAAAATCACAGCACCATGTCCATGATAAAGAACATATTATAAGGTACCCGAAAGGTTCAAATAAAAACTTAATAAAGGCTATTGAATAAAAGAAGGTACACGACCAAGAGAATGAAAATGAGATAAAGACAATAAAAAAGGATCAGAGAGGAAGTTGAAATGGAAACGAGGTAAAGGAGGCCAAAAGTTCATAGTATTACTGCCTCCAAAGAAGAAAATACCAATAATGGCACAGAATATAAAACTCTAATCCAAGAGAAAGTTCCAGAAAAAAAAAATGAACTGACTCTACACATGGAAAGGGCTTAGGAAGGGGTGAGTAGTTAGGAAAATTGACCACAAATAATCCACTCCGAGACGTAGCTTTGAAAAAACGATTAGACTTTAATGATACAGGAAAAATACTCACCAATCCTCCAGACTGAAAAGGAAAACACTAGGAAGGAAAGAGAATTAGGCTGGCCTCAGCATTCTCAAAAATAACCTGGAAAGCAAGAAACCAGCATGGTCAAGAAACTTAAGGAAAAAGAAGCTGCCCTTCAAGTATTAAGTGATAGAAAATGAGTTTTGCACTGGCCAGAGCTGCAGGAATACTGTTCCCTGGGCTGCTGCAGGGAATTCACTGGAGGGTGAGCTTCATGCAACCAAAAGATGCGTGGGAGCAAAGGACAGACGGTGCATTTCATCTCCCTTACTGGACTGGAGGCTAAGGCTGAAAAAGAGAAAAAGGAAGCATTTATGTAGAGCAAATGCAACTGAAAAATATGGGAGAAGAGAGAGAACAAGGGGAAAGTAGGGTAAGAACACTGACTGTTGTGTAGGTGTGAGGTAGGAGTCAAAGAATATCATTTAGAAAAGAGAGAAAAAGGTTAAGAAATAAGTTAAGAGCACTACAAAAAGTATTAGTACAGAAGTAACTAGAATGAAAATACAGAGCTTCCTATAACACACACACACACACACAAGCCAAGAGCCTTCCCCCTAAGAGAGACAGTAAATGCATTACATACAGTAATGATAACATGAGATATTAGAGAATGGAGAGCAAACATAGCAGCCATATCATAAAACTGATTTTCAAATTGGCTCATGGAGCAAAAACCCAACTCCGTGCTTAGGGAGGACAGACACACACTTAAAGGCAGAGCTGAAAATAAAGGCTGGGCTCAGCTCCATGGAGCACATGGAAAGAGGAGACAACAGGGCTGCCATCATGTTAGCAAAGCAGACTTCCAGCCCAGAGCTAAAGACACACACAGAAAACTCACAGAGCTGTACGATGGCCCCTGAACACATGAAACAATACCCAACTTTACTCATGAGGAGATAAACGCACATTTACACTTTAGCGACATGCCTTGCCTCACCCACCAGGTTGACCACACCAAACTCTTCCAAAAGCTCATTGGTCTTTGGCTTGGGCAACTACGACCATAATTCTAATTGGTCATACATTGGTTTTGTGTAAATTGCCCCTAGAGTAATCCCAAGACCAATTGGAGAGTGCTTTCAATATACTTCAATTTGAGAAGCAAGATTATAAAGCATTACCTTTTCATAATCTATCTATATAGACTGAACAGGCTGGCAGGGGGGTTAGTGAGGAGCAGCCAAACAACGGAGCAGCAGACTGTGTGGGTGACCAGGCTGACAGGGGGTTTAGTGAGGGGCGGCCAACCAAACAAGCAGCAGGCTGTGTGTGGGAGCAACCAGGCCAGCAGGAGGGGCAGTGAGGGGCAAACAGGCAGGTGAGTGGTTAGGAGCCAGTATCCAGGATTGTGAGAGGGATGTCTGACTGCCGGTTTAGGTCTGATCCCTGGGATCAGGCCTAAACTGACATTCGGACATTCCCTGAGGGGTCCTGGATTGGAGAGGGTGCCTGGGGATGTGATTTTGTTCACTTTTCTGTGCTTAGTGTTTTAGTGTAAAAGGTTGCAATCTAACTAAAATGGTGCTGGCTGATCCTCCTGTTCGCCCAATACCAGGCCCAACGCTGCAAAAACACATTGGCTGGGCTCTTTTTTATTTTATAAATAACCTTAGTAATTAGGTTGGAAAGTTTCTTTTAAAAAATATTTTTATTGACTTCCAATAGTAAGGGAGAGGGAAAGAGAGATAGAAACATCAGATGAGAGAGAATCATTGACCAGTTGGCTCCCGCATGCCCCACACTGGGGATTGAGCCTGCTACCTGGGCATGTGCCCTGACTGGCAATCGAACCCTGACCTCCTGGTTTATAGGTTAACACTCAACCACTGAGCCACACTGTCTGGGGTGTGTTCTTAGACCTTGGAACAGCAGTTGGACAGGCTTCCTCAACTGAAAAATCATGTACGTATGACTGTTTTAGAGTAGATATAGTGCAGTGTGGTTCTCAAATGGGGGTGACTTTGCTCTCCCTAAGGGACATGGGACATTGGCTGTGTCCAGAGATGTTTTTGATGATCATACCAGGGAGTGGCCACTGGCATCTAGTTGGTAGAAGAGAGCAAGTCGCTGCTAACCATCTTATAATGCCCAGGACAACTCCCCAGCCCCCAGCAAGAAATTATTTCCTACAAACTATGTCAGTAGTGCCCAGGTTCAGAAATCCTGTTTGCTAGAACACTGGCTATCAGCTGGTCTTAGTTTTTATTTCCCTGGAACTTTTCTCTCCCTGTCTTATTTGGGGCTGCTAGGGTCTGTCTGAATGTTTGTGTGCCCCCTAATTCTTATATGGAGATCCTAATGCCCAATGTGATGATAGTAGGGGGAAAATTGGGGGTGTCTAGGTCATGGAGGTGGAATCCCCACGAATGGGATCAGTGACACATACAAGAAGTTCCAGAGAGACCCTCCCCCTCCCACGCTGTGGGTGCAAGGGGAAGGCTGTGGCTTGGAAGGGCCTTACTGACCAAGCTGGCCCCCTGCCTCAGACGTCCAGTCTCCAGAACTATGAACAATAAATGTACCATGTTTTTCCATGTATAAGATGCTCCCATGTATAAAATGTCCCCGACTTTTCCAACCCAAAATTAAAAAATATTTTAAACACTTTGCCGGTTTTCCTCTAAAAACTTTGTTTGGCACCTTAAGGAGTTGTTTTTCCTGTTTTCTCCACTGTCTGATCATACACCCAGTGGGAGGAGGTCCACATTGTCTCTCTGCAGCTCTCTTTCCATGCTCTTTTGCATAGCTGATCACATCCAGTTTGAATTTTGCAGAGTAAGACAGTCACCTACGGGTATTTATTTTTTCATTTTTTGACATCTTTATGGGCTCAGAACGCTCTGCACACACTCCACCTCCACCTCCAATGACAGCATCAGCTGAGGTCAGTAACAATGAGGCTCTGATTGGAGGAAGCCTGATTGACAAGGTGTGGGCAGCTACACTCCCACCAGCTCCCTCCTTGGCTGACTTCTGTGTATAAGATGCCTCTGGATTTTCAGTCTAAGGATTTTAGAAGAAAACAGTCTGATACATGGACAGAAACAGTATGCTATAAATACATACACATTCATGAGATGGGATTTTGTTGGAACTGCCTGAGCGGACTAAGACATGGACAAACTTTGAGGACCAAGATATGGCAGCAAAATGATTTGGATCCAGTAAAATCTAAGTGAGACGTATGAGGTATATTTCTAGCATGAGGGATGCCGACTGGCCCCCAATTTTCCATCTCAAGCTTACAACTAAGACACAATAGGTGGGGATGTCCAATATGAGAGAACAGTAGGCTTCCTCCCAATCTTTGGGTGGTGGTTACCATGGAATCATTCACACCGGCACAATGGCGCTCCTCCAAGAATGTATTTATTTACATGAAAACACCGTTTTGTACAAATTGAAGACAAATCTTAAAGAAGGGGATGTCCAGGCATGCCGTTCCCCAGTCCCTGATTTTGCCCCTCTCCTTTTCCTCTTTTGGTATCACTGAGAGAATGTCCTACACTGGTTAAAGGAAACTAAACCTGCCTCTTCCCCGCCCCCCCCCCACCTAAAATAACTCTCCATACTGAATGTCCACCGTCATTCTTCAAAGAAAACTCTTGCCCAGGGTTATTTTATTTAATTTATTTATGGAATACAGTGTAGAAAGCTATCATGGTCATAAGCAATAACTGTACAATCATCCTGCAGAAATTTTTTTTTGGGGGGGGGGGAGAATTCTTGGTAATGTGAGACCCGCAGAGCACTCCCGTCCCCCCTACCCCCCAAAAGTGCTTACAAGGAACAGGGATTCTTTTCTTTATCAAAGATCCAAAGATAGATGGACCAAGAAGTTTTCGAATCTGAATGCCTAATGTGTGCACATAAAACAGGCACAAAGGAATCGACGGGTATCCTCGTAATTCCTCTATCACAAATATAGCAGAAGCAGCAATCTGTACAGTAAAATGCAATCATGGGCTGGGGGGGGGGGAGGGGGGGGAGAAAGGACTCAAAATCACCTGGAATACTTAAAAACGTGTAACCTCAAAATGCATAGTGATCAGGAAAAGAATACTTAGGCAAAGAGAAGCAGCTACACTCCCACGTCCACATGAAGCATCATCCCTCATCGATTTCTTAAAGCGTTATTTCAAGTAGGACTCAATTTGGGTCACAAACCACAAGGATAATATACAACTGGCTAAGGGGCTACGTGATAAATAATCAGGAGAGCATCTAATCATGCATTAGTCTGATACCGCTAAAAGTCTTTACAGTACACAAAGCCCATGAAAGCAGGTGGTGGAGAGACCGAAGTGTGAAGAGAGAGAGAAGACATTACTGATCTGTGGGTTAATTCAAGTTCAGGCATCTACTTGTGTGTTACAGCACAGCTGTCCAAAAAGGGGAGTCATGAGCAAAGAATAAAAACAAAAAAACGGGAGGGTGTGTGTCTTTCCACAAGAGTCTGTAAAGGAACACCGATGGGCTGGGAAGCGATGGTGTTGGCTGTCCCACGTCAGAGGCTGCTGCGGCGGCGGCTGGTCTAGTTCTGCATCTGCTCGAAGAACTTGTACGTCGGGTTTTCGTAGCCGTTCTGCTGCATCTTGGAGAGGTGGCGCTCCTCGGGGGTCACGGCGGCGTCCACCTGGAAAGCAAGGGTAGAAAAAGGGAGTGAAAAGACACATCAACAGCGAAGGAGGACTCATGGAAAAACCAAGATGGCAAAAGACACCCACTCCTTTCTCCTCTCTTCTGCACTTGGGCAGAAAAGCCAGTGCCCACCAGTGACGCAGATGCTCCATCTAGCCACCAGGTGGCGCTTCACACCTTGACGTGTTCACTGGTTACTCCCTTTACTCAACAGTAAGGGGATATATCTAGTGTGGAAAATATATATATTTTCCCTTCTCTGTTGGCTCAATAAAAGACAAGAAAACCATGGTGGAAGATTGCTTTCCTGGAAAGTGTGGTGGTAAACTAGGAAGACATCCAAAAGTATCGTGAGGAAATTCAGCAAAGGATACTGGGAGACACTCCAGTGGAGACTGTGTATTTTTCTCATGTTTAATTTTTCTCATGTTTTTTACCTAATATGTGGAAGAGAGGTCTGAGAGTATGTTAGCTGAGATAACAATGCCTGTACATCAAAGGGGTTCTTCTTTGGAGCAGTCAGGAAAAATAGAACAAGGACATGCTATTCTAGATTATAGATGATCTTTTTGCTTTTGTTTTTAAAGTGAGCACTAAGGTAGTGCAAAAGTATGTCCGGCTAAAGGTTTAAAAATAGGTCCTCTGTTGATAGGGTGCTTTATCTCTAAGATTGGCCGGCAATTGTAAACGTGCTGTGTCTGTCCCCTTGTGTCCCCACATTCCCCCAGAGTCACTGTCAGGACAGGGCTGGGGGAAGCATGCCATCTGCACCCTGGCCAGGGTGTGCTCACCCCTCGGGGGAGTGCTGTTCAGGGGTCTAGTGTATTTGCTGTACCTCTCACAGTGCACAGAAGAGAGCAAGCACTGAACTCTTTGCTGATGGAATTGAAGCTTAGTTTTGTAATTCTTTTTACAATTTCTCTTCTGTGAAAGCATTGCAAGATGAACAAAAGCAACACAAATTTAATCAGAACAAAAAAGCAGCGTATTTCCAAAGAAACGTTAGGATGCAGTGTGTGGAAGGGTTTGTTCTTTTTTCCAAAGGCATCTTTTTATTCTGCACACGATGGAATTAGGGCCCCTACCTGATTTCCAGAAGATGGCAAGCCCATTCCCCGAGCACTGCGCAGCGACACCCAGCTCCTCTGTGGGGTCCCCACCGCAGACCCAGCCAGTCTGGCCTGGTTCTGACCCCACGCTGCTGTCCCATCGCCCCCCAACGAAGCAAAAAGCCCAGGGCACTTGTGCTGGCGCTAAGACACCTGTCTAGGGATGGAGCTTGACAGGACACCGTGACTAGACCACACTGTCTGATGAATGCTTTAGCCTAAGAGACGGGCGCAGCCACGATGGAAAAACAGTGTGGAGGCTCCTCAATAAACTGAAAATAGAGCAACCGCGTGACCAGCAGCTCCACTTCCGGGTATTTATCTGAAGGAAACGAATTCACAAAGCCAAAATGATACATGCACCCCCATGTTCACCGCAGCATTTCAATATCAACAGCCAAGACATGAAAACAATGAAATGAATGAAAAGCAAAAATGAGGTGCACACACACACACACACACACACACACACACACACACTCTCAATTATTCAACCATGAAAAAGAAGGAAATCCTGCCATTTTCAGCAGCATGGATGGCCCTTGAGGGCATTATGCAAATTGAAGTCAGATTGAGAAAGACAAAAACTGGGTGATATTAATTACATGTGGAATCTAAACTCAGAGACAGAGAACAGTTGGTGGTTGCCAGAGGCAGGAGGTTGGTGAAAATGGGTGTAGAATACAAATTTCCAGTTATAAAGTCAGTCAGTCATGGGATGTAATGTCAGCATGGTGACTATAGTTAATAATGGAATTGGACATTTGAAAGTTCTTAAAAGAGGAGGTCTTAGAAGTTCTCATCACAAGGAAAAAAACCTGTAACTATAGCCCCAGCTGGTCTGGTTCAGTGGATAGAATATCAGCGTGAGGACTGAAGGGTCCCAGGTTCGATTCTAGCCAAGGGCACATGCTGGGTTGTAGGTTCGATTCCCAGTGGGGGGCGAGCAGGAGGCAGCTGATCAGTGATTCTCTCTCATTATTGATGTTTCTACCTCTCCCTCTCCCTTCACCTCTGAAATCAATAAAAATATAAAACAAAACAAAACAAAACCATAACTATACGAGGTGATGGATGTTGACTAAACTTACTGTGGTACTCATTTCACAATATATCCATGTATCAACTCATCATGTTATGTACCTAAAACCATTACGTTCTATGTCCATTATGCCTCAGTAAAATTGGGAAAAAAAAAAAAAAGATGTGTCAATATTCTCTGCCTTCCCCATGGTCTCCGAGTGACCCTCAGAGGACACTGTTTGAACGAATTCTCAGTGTCCCTGTCCCCTTAGGGGGACTATCACAGATGTTTTCCCATCTGTGGCAGCATGCTGCTCAAACTTGAGCATCTCTTTTGCTCTGGGCCACCTCTGACCTGAAGCTTCAAAGAATGCCAAGGTTTAAAACACACACACACTACCTTGATCTGCCAGCGCTGCCACGTTTCCAGGTGCAGAGAGAAGCATCACGCTGCTCCACTGCTGAAATGGAGAGCTGCCCGTCCCCCGGAAATACTGAGTCCCCATGTGCATGGATAAGCCTACTTACCACTAAAGGGAGGAGCGTGGGGTGTGGGTGAGCCTTCCTCTCCAGCAGGGCTCAGCCACCTGTCACTCACAGCTGACTGGCAGTGTGCGGGGACCCCCATGGAAGGCCAGCTCACTGAGACCCTAAGCAGACAGGGCCTCTGCGCCAGCACTTTAGTATTAGGTCCCTTGCCTGGCTGGTGTGGCTCAGTGGTTGAGCATTGATTGACCTATGAACCAGGAGGTCATGGTCTGATTCCCAATCAGGACACATACCTGGGTTGCAGGCTCAATCCCCAGAAGGGGGCATGCAGGAGGCAGCCGATCAATGACTCTCATCATTGATGTTTTTATCCCTTTCTCCCTTTCCCTCTGAAATATCTATCACTAGGTCCCTTAAAGCCGAGAAAGAGCGATAGAACGATGACATCAGGGACAGAAGCCCCATCCGCCCACCGGGCAGGGACAGCTATCGCTAGCTGAGATGACACCACACACGTACACACTTTGAATAGTCCCTTTGACTTTTTAGTTAGATGGCAGCAGTGATATCTGCAGCCACCAACATATGACATTATATAAATCTAAGCTGTGCATGTTAACTTGATACCTGTAAACGCTGCAATATGACTGCCATTGTGGCGATAATTAGTGCCTCTATCACCTTAGAATTATCTTTATTTTTAGTGGTTGGAATAGTTATATCTTACTCTCTTTGCAAATTTGATGATTACAATATTGCCTATATTCACTTTACTGGGCATTAGATCTCCAGGGCTGTTTTACTACTCTTTACATATTTGTACCCGCCAACAATATCTGTCCTAGTAGTTCATAGGTCGACACTCAATCACTGAGCCACACCAGCCTTTAGTGGGGGTCTGTCCCCGACCCCCACGAAAGGCAAGGTCTCCATTTCAGGGGAGGAGTGGAAAAAGCTATGATATATATTGAGTGGCCAGATTACTAGAGACCTGGTGCATGAATTTGTGCATGGCCAGGGGGAGGGGACATGGGTGGTTGGCTGGCCTGCCTGCTGGTCAAACTCCCGGTCGAGGGGACAATTTGCATATTAGCCTTTTATTATATAGGATGTACACTGAGTGGCCAGATTATTATGCGTTCAGAGATCATAATTATCTGGCCAGAGTATATTTTTAAGTATCCACCGTCCATTGACACCTGTGTAGGAAAGTCCCACCTACTAGTAAAGAGAACCAGGGGTCAGTGGGCTTTGCAGGACCGATTTCAGTAGGAGTCACAGCTGGAGCCAGGCTCCCCAGCCACCACGGAAGGGGGTCTGATGGGGAAGCAGTGTACCAGAGAGCCATGGTGCCACTGCTTGAGGCACAAATAAAGCACACTCATCTCCCCTGGAAGCCGTGGTTAATGGCTCGCAGAATGACTCTCTGGCCTATGGCTAAGCAAATCATTAAATCAATGTTTACTGCTTATCCGTTAACAACAAAAACTAGCGGCTGCTCATTTCCAGCGGGGAACAGCTCTATTAATAACAATACTAGGCTCATTTTCATTTCCCAGTGCCATCATCGCCTGTCAGAATCTTTCCCTCTAAGAATGAGAGATGGCCTGGAGACCACTGCCTTCGCCATGGTTTCTTCATGCACTAATGGTGGGAAGCCCAGTTGGGCTGTCCCCACTAGATTCCAGTCAGTCCAACTGCCACTACTCATCTACTCCTCTTTGTTCTTCGTGAAGTAGGATCAGTCACTAATGAAGCAGGTTAACTAGAGCTGGGCATGAACTTGTTTCCAGGTACTTGAGTGTGAGAGTGTGCTGAGACGGACAGCAAACGTTTGTAGAATCACTTCCCTTGAGGGTAGACTCAGTGGGCCAGGTGAGATAGGCGGGGCTGCAGGTCTTTGTCCGAGTTCTACCACCCCAGCTAGCTATAACTTTCCTAAGCACAGGGATGGTGGGCACCCCTTGGGTGAAGTTGTGATCCAGCACTGCTTTACCCAGCTCAGCAAGGAGCTTGACAATGCATTTCTTCAGAAACACAAAACAAGGTGGGATACTCACTCTAGAGAGGTTACTAGTTGCTCTCAGAAAGCTAGCAAGATGAGTATCAAGAGAAGAGCTGCATGACAGCCCTCCCTATAATTTTGTCCCTTGAAGGATGCCTCTTGGCTTAAAAATTATTTCCTTCTTTCCAGAATCTGTGTTGAAGTGTCAACTTCTCTGATATTTCAAACCCAAGGAGACATTCCTTGGTAACCAAAAGAAACATTCCACGTAGGCAGCTGTGAAGGAGACTTACGGAATACTGGAGATGATTCTTACGTGTCTGACTCAGACAGGAAAATGTAACACTCAGGTTCCCAGCCTCCTATTGGGAAAGCCAGTTTCCCTGGGTCTGGGGTGGGGCCAGGGGTGTGTCCTTTCAAGAAGGTACCTGGTCAGTCCCTGGCATAACCATGGCAGACAGCCCCTGCGCCAGTGTCTTTCTCTGCCCAGCATCCTTAGCTCTGATAAGGGCTGAATTGTACCTCCCATACATTAAAGTCCTAACCCCTGGTACCCCACAATCTGATTATATTAGGGGCAGGGTCTCTAAAGAGGTAATTGAGGTTCAATGAGATCATTAGTGTAAGCCCTAGTCCAGTAATATGGCATCTTTATGAAAAGAGGAAGTCAGGACACAGACACACACAGAGGGAAGAAGAGGTGAAGGTGTAGACGAGCTGCCTATGAGACCTTGATCTGAGATGGCCAGCCTCGAGCTCGTGAGAAAGTACATTTCTGTGGTTGGAGCCCTCAGGGTGCTTTGCTATGGCAGCCCGAGCAAACTAGTACAGCAGGTCCCCAATCCATGGCATCCGTCTCCTTACAAAGTGGATGAGATGCCAAACAAGAGAAACGTGACTCTTGTTTCTAAAAATTAGCCTATTGGTAAAATTGATTTTGTTATACATTGTTTACACTATCGATGCATTAAGTGAGGACTTACTGTATGTGGCCTCTGGCATCAGAGACAGGCACTTGGATAAAAAGGAAGCTGCCTCTTGGATTGATTTATCAGTCCAAGGCAATTAAAACACAATTACATTAGGCAAATGTAAAAAGGGTTTGGATTACTCAAGTATGAACAAACTTTTATTTGCTCACACTTGGAATCAAAATGAAAAACAAAACTGTTTTGAGTACAAGTGAGGTAAACCGATGCTAGTAACAACGTTATCTTGTACTGTTTCATAGGACACAAGCTCAGAAATCCTTCTAAGAAAGAGCAATACATCAAACTCGATGATGCTGTCACTGCTGATTTCAAGTGCTCATCCTCTAATTTGCTAACCACTCAGTTCTTTTACATTCATTTGTTTCTCTGCTCTTTAGCACATCTGTACCCATATTCACAGAGGAAATAAGACACAAAACCAATTTTCATCAGTAGCTACTGTAAACAAGTAGCCTGGAGATGTTAGGGGCTGTGACAGTGAGGTGTCTGGCTTTGCCACAAATTTCATATATTTAGATTGCTCCTGCTCCCCCATAATCAAGAATGGTTTGGAGCATGTTTCCTTGAGTTTGGTGAGAAATTTAATTCACTGGGAAAGACTTGGACATTTCTCTGAAGGAAAAGCCAATGAAGAGGAGGTGGGAAAAATGTATCCTTTGACCTTGGTCCTCCTTAGCTTGACATTGAGCAAACACTTCTGTTTGGGTCTCCTTTCTCATCTACAAAATGAGAAGATCAGTTTGATTCATTGCTGAGATCTCTTTCAGCTTTAAAAATCTGACTTCTCAAGATGGATTAAATTCGCTGTCTCGAATTGTTTTCTAAGAAATCATATGTACCACAAGTGTCCTCCCCCCCCCCCGCAACTGTATTTGAAAAGCATAAAAAGAAGTTATTTGTAAATTTTATTTCTCAATAATTTATATCATTGGTTTAAGAAATTGTACTTGAATCTTGCAGCTTACTCTAGTTTGTTGGTATAACCACTACCTGCTGTGCTATACACAGCCGTGTCAGTCACAGACTGGCGTGTGGGGAGAAACAGTCTCTAGGACATAACTCTGCAGTAACCTCGACTGTCACTGGTGGGTCTTCTCTCTGCCTGCTGCACTAAATGGCTCAAAACTAGACTATTTTATGTCAAAGGGCAGGGTTGCAGGCTGACATCTTGAATAACCGTGTATGTTCTGCTCAGCTGTTTGGTATGACATGATTTAAAAAAATATATACATACATTTTTATTGATTTCGGAGAGGAAGGGAGAGGGACAGAGAGATAGAAACATCAATGAGAGAGAATAATTGATCAGCTGACTCCTGTACGCCCCACACTGGGGATCGAGCCCGCAACCTGGGCATGCACCCTGACCGGGAATCAAACCATGACCTTCTGGTTCACAGGTTGACACTCAATCCCTGAGCCATGCCAGCTGGGCATGACATAACTTTTTGCAAAACTTTAGAGGTAAGACTCTTTACTGATAATTATTATTTACTACTACCTGGTTTTAGTTAGAGGTCAGATATTTAAGAAACACACAAAAAGTATGGGAATAAATGTGTTTAGGTTTTTTTTTTTTTTTTTGAGGAGAGCAGCCTTGTAGTTCCTTTATTTGATTTTAAGTTCTACCACATTTTTTTCTTTCTTTTAACATTGGAGGTGATCACAATTTTCTATGACAGGCGTTATGATTAATAGTTTGCTATTTCAATACGAATGATGAGAAGTTGATGTAGGCGCACAATCTCAATGCCTCAATAGTTCCTATGTCGGAATGAATAAAGACCAAAGCAAGAAAGGAGCTGAAACTTGAGAGCTCTATGCAGGAATGAATATATATATATATATATATATATATATATATATATATATATAATTTTTTTTTAAGAGAAATACTTAGATGACCCTTGGTTTAATGCCAAGCAAAAACATCCCCTTGCAGTCTCTAAATCCCACTTGCAAACACGCAGCCCATGTACTTACCTCCACCACACCATGATGGATGGACGTGTACTGCTTCTTCTTCAGCATCACCAAGGTGATGACAATCACTGTTGCTATGACAACGCCGCCCACCATGAGGCCAATGATTGCTCCTTTGTTGGAACCCACATCTTCTGCAAAGAACACCTTGAAAAACAAATCAAGAAAAGGGGGAGTAACTGTACAAGACATTCTGATGAGGTATATGGACAGTTTTAGAATTATTCAATGTTTCTCATGATCTAAGTTTGAATTGCTGGTCCCACCATTTTTATGGTGCATGCTTGAAACAAAAAAATCACCCGTTCTATTTACTAAGAATGACATTTCTAATCTATAGATAGAATGATGGACAACAGGTGGCTTCCCCAGGTCTAGCAAGCCTACTTTCACCCCACCTGTCCTCAGAGAAGCAAGAAAACAAGCCGAGAGGACCCTGGAACCCTCTGGCTGGTGGAACATTCGCTGGGAGGTGGGACAGCAGCTTGGCTCTATCAAAAGCTGTATAGTTATGAGTCGTGATTATAAAAGGAGGTCAGCATTTTCCTAGTCACAGCAGGTTTAAAACTGGGAGCCCTGATGCATGACAACTACGCCTTAGGTTCTTTCTCAACCCGCAGATGTCCTCATTTCTTCATCGCAGGGATTTTCACCTGGGGTGCCATGGCACACTGGGGGCCCCCCAAAATTTAAAACACACAACACCTGATTAGTCAGAGGCACCGACCTCTTTCCCCTTCGACTGTCAGATAAAAAAATGACAGCTAATACAACAATAGCTGTCCAATGTGAAGGGTCAAATTATACCTGTTTCTTTCTTTCTTTTTTTTTTTTTTTTTTTGTCAGATTGGCAAAAAATGTAACCTATATTTTGGTGTGCCACAGAATTTTCATCATTTATGTGCCCCATGAAATGAAAAAAGTTGAAAATCACCACCTTAGACGAACACCAATACACAGGAATAAGCATTCCAAAACAAAGGAATTAAACAGAAGAAAAAGGACATATTGCTAGCCACTTTTAGCCACGATAATTCAGTAGGCCCCTAATTAACTTTGTTTTAAAAGACAGTTGTTTCAAAGGGAAATAATGTGCAGGAATTTTAATAGTCACAATAATTCATACTTCCTTACCACATTGTCTCCAGAAACACAACTAAGATTGTTGCTGTTTATTTGGATCAAATATACCAGTAGAAAGAATTTGGAGGTCATTGTGAAGGAGAAATTTATTCAGTACGATAAACTTATTGTATTACACTCCTTCCTACTGTTTATAAAGCAGGCCATTCTTCCTCAAATTTAACTACTTGAATGGAATTATAAGAACTGCAACCTGTATCATCTTTTTAAAAAAATATATATTTTATTGATTTTTGTTTTTATGGAGAGGAACATCTATGAGAGAGAAACATCGATCAGCTTCCTCCTGCACACTCCCTACTGGGTATGTGCCCACAACCAAAGTACATGCCCTTGACCGGAATCGAACCTGGGACCCTTCAGTCTGCAGGCCAATCCTCTATCCACAAAGCCAAACTGGTTAGGGCGCAACTTATACCATCTTGTTGTATGATGATCTCATGCTGGGTCATGTGGCCTAATGACTACTAAACATATTTCACATTTGCTATAAAATTTAATGAAAATAATTCCCTAAATATTGTTTTTATTTCATCTCAAGGACAGTAAAATGACTGATTTCCGTAATGAAAACTAACAGCCTAGCAATCTTAAAGAGGCAAGACAATATATAGCCAATTTCTATGCGTTTTACTCCTGGTCTATTTGCAACAAAATTAGCAGCTGCTCATAAATATTCCACCCTCCTCAGGAATTTGCTCGCTCAACATTATTGATAAAAAGCAAATCATTAATTAGCTAGTGACACAAGGACGAAGTAATCAGGAATAAAGGCATGTCTGCCCATCTCCCTGTGTCTTTAAGAAAATATTGTAATTTTGTCATATTCATCCCACTAATTACAGGGCATTATCTTATCAAGGAGTTCAGTAGAGGGAGCTGATCCTCCTAATTGCCGCCGCCGCTATTCATCACTGTCGCATTACAGGAGTCGCAGCCGGTGTAATTGCAACAACGAACTTTTATGACAATGGCACCAGGAGAGGCGAGCCCCACATTCATCCCCAGCTCTGAGCCCCACCGGCTCCAACTCTGCAGCAGCTCCCCATTTTTCTTTTAATCTCTTTCACATCGGCCAGATGAAGAACGCCCCCGATTTTAAAATAACTATTTTGACTTGCCAATGAAAACCACGCTCCAAAAAGCTAAATGTCCTTTTATCTCCCCTCTTCCCCAAATTATGGGAGTTAAAATGCAAATCTGAATCTCAAGTCAGTTTCTGATGGGTTCCAATTATTTAGAGTGAAAAGTCAAGGCATAAACAATATATTAAAGGCATTTCTTTGGGAGTTTAAGAGTTGGGTTTATAATTTTTATTTGTGAATATTGGAAAGAGAGATTTCCCCTGAGCCAAACCGGTTTTGGCCTCACTTGTGTTCTTAACCTTTTTTTTTTTTTTTTTTAACTGGATCAACGCACAAGAGCTGATACATCATTTGGCGAGACAGAGGGGAGGAAGAGGCCAGTTATCCGACGTACCAGTTTCTGATGATGAACTTCATATCCCGAGTCATGGCGGAACTCCGCGTCCATCTTCACCTCCGAGATCTCTTCCGTCTTGATGTTGGTCAGTCCCGAACCTGCGGCACCATAAGCGGGACACCATCATTAAAACACTCACACAAGTCCATGCATTTTTCTCTATGAACAGCCACACTACAACACCGGACCCTTTCTAGGCCTGAAGCTGGAGGAAATGAGTGACTTCTCTCAAGAAAAATGGTCCCTCTATATAAACCCTTAACCACCACCTATTTTAAACAAAACAATTTTTTTTAAAGATTAAAGAAATCTGAAGTTAGAGCTTTGACTACCTTTAAGAATATATATATATATATATATATATATATATATATATATATATATATATATATTTTTTTTTTTTTTTTTTTTTTTTTTAAATGAGGGAAACCAGAAGTTAAGCACTAGCTGGGGGGCTGCAAGGTTTGTTTCTAGAATAGGCTGGTTTGTTTTAGGGGCTTAATAAGGTTGGCGTATTACATGTGTTTTTACATGTGCTCATAGTTCTTCAGAAAAAAAAAGAATAATAAAAGCCTTTAAAAATGAACATTAATTATCTGGTAGAACAAAACTGCCACTTTGAAGCTTTTTTGTTCCGTCAACCAATAAATTATGTTCCTGGATCTATGCAGTGAGGCCTTGTAAAAATCCTATCATTTATTTAGTTAAGCGATTTAGTCAGAGATACGGAATGTAATTGGCTCACTGGCTGAATAAAGAGCGGCTGCACATAATCTTTGAAAATGCTCCTTTGCGGCTGACTTCCTTCTCTACAAATTGCTATGACTCTCCCACCGACGGTCACAATGGGTTTCATTTTTCCAATAATAATAATTGGAAGCTTAAAAACAAAAATGCAAAGTCATTTTTTTCAAGCAAATAGAAGAAAGTACAAAGCATGAGTTTCTACACTAGAGTATTTCAATAGCAAAAATTAGGATGAAAAGGGCTTTTAAAATCATGTCCTCTCGGGTGTCCCCAGCCAAGGGCTAACTCTCGGCTCCTGCCTGAACAGAGGGCAAATATATCAGTTTGCTTCCGTTTTCAAACAGAATGGCCTTTCTTACATCACCCCCAAATCAGTTTGTTGTAAGTTCTTTGCTCAGCACGTGACAAGCCCAGCCCTGCCTTCTGCGTTACAGCCTTGAACAGATCAGATGCAGACTCAAGATCGATCTCAATCTATAGCTGGTTTGTAGAGGATAACACCCTCATCTTTTCCTTCTGCTTGTCGGAACTACATTTTCTTATTCCTACTTTCCCAGGTCTTCTCCTACTCTCCAGTCTCCACAAGGATCATGGGGAACAGCTCTATGAGTTCACGTTCAGGTTCTCTTAGTCTGCAGTTTGTCTGGGCCAGAATGATTTGAAGTTGGGCAGAGATGGGCGACAGTGTTAAAATAGATCCAAGAATCTGTTGGCACTCCTCTCCTGGACTTGCTTCTAATGATTAAAATAGGTGACAGTGATGATGGGTGACTTCTGAGGCTAGGTCGTAAAAGACATTGCAGCTTCCTTTTTATTCTTTCTCTTGGTCTGGGAAAGCCAGCCACCACGTTGTGAGGACATGCAAGCAGCCCTATAAAAAGGTTCACCTGATGGGGTACTGAGGTCTCCTGTCCACAGCCATGTGGGGGAACCATTCTGGAAATAGACCCATCAGTCCCAGTCACGCATCAGTCCTCAGATGACTACAGTGCTGGCAGATGTCACCATGCAATCCCATGAGAGACCCTGAGCCAGAAGCACCAGCTGAACCCTGCTTAATATCCTGAGCATTACAGTAATTGTAAGAAACTCAATGCTTGTTATTTTTAAGTGGCTAAGTCATGGGACTATTTGTTACATAGCAGTAGATAACCAATACAAGGGACTAGTGGTTCTCCATTCTTATTTACTTTCTTGCTTTAAAATTATTAGTACTTTCTTCCAAGTTTCACCTGATTTGGCCTTAATATTTCTGACACTAATTTTTATTGGGCCATGACACTAATACTCTTTTATCCTTATTGGCTGTATGTTTTTATCTTTCCACAAGCACTTTTAAATCTGAGACCTTTGTAAAACCACAGTGATTCCTTTACACCTCATCCTTTTCTTTTCTTTTTTTCTTTTTCTGTCACTAGGGTATAGTAATGAAATAGTAAATATTATACTTCCGAGATTTTTAGAAAAGTCTTTTAAATAGTTTTTCTTTTAGATCTGTGAGACCAAATAATCACATCAAAAAATTAGTTAAAAAAATGTGCTCCTCACTCAAAAATTTAAAAGCCCATATTATTTCTCAAAGGATACCAAGAATACTTTTGTTAGTAAAAAAAATATATAAAAATTCAATTTCCTCTATCAAATCAGAACAACAGATGATTATAGCTCAATAGTTGAAGAGAGTTTCAGCACAAAGAGCTCTTGCTAGTTCATTTTTGCACAGCATTTATAATCATCTAGTGAAAAGACTTTCTGTACATTAAGCACATCTCACTAAAAGGGGAGAAAAGTTAATAATATGCAATACCAGTGACAGAAAGTTGACCCTGCGTAGTAATAAAACATGATGGGCAGAGTTCAATACATCGCAGGGACCTCTGTTTATAGGATCCACAGATGCATCTTCTGGGTTGTGCTGATTTCATTTTACGCCCTGGTGTGACTCCAGGTTTCTAAGTCCTGGCCAGTGAGAAGAGTCTGTGTGCATTTGAGGGAGAAAAGGCACAGCCTTTATGACGCCTCTCACTTGGCCTGGGATCAAGGACAGAGAAGGGTGGCAATAAATTACAGTGGAGAGGCTCTCTTTCGCCCCTGTGAAGAGGCTGCTAATGTATTTTTCTTCTTTATTCTGGTCAAATGGTGTAATTTGTCCTCCGGAGTCTATTTTTCACTGGAAATAAGCCACAGGGAGAAGCTGTAATGGCCACGAGGCTCAAAAATCACCACTGTGCTCACTACCTGACTCCACATTCTAGAAGTTACAGTGCCCTGGTGGTAGTTCAGATGTGAGAGGCAAGGAGAGGTCATTTTCCTCAGCTGTGATTATACAAAAACCCTTTATTACTTGTTTCAGAGTGATAACAGTGACTGTTCAAACACAATGACCTGATATGACAACCCCGGGCGATGGTTTCTAAGTTTGGAAAAAATCTAAACATATAATTTGGTGCCTTAGACTCAAGCATGCAGTCTTATCAAGTGTGGTGAGGGAAGAAACAAAACGAATGCTACAAAACATGGGAGAAACTGGCTCAGATGCTCACAGACTCACTACAAGTATAAAAATACTAGAGGCACAGTGCACGAAATTCATGCATGGTTAGGGTCCCTAGGCCTGGCCAGCAATCAGGGCCGATTGGTGTCTTCCAGCTGCCAACTGGGGTCTTCCTTCCCCTGGCTGCTGGCTGCCGAATGGCAGCCAGGGCCTTCCTTCATTCTGTGCTACCCCCTGGTGGTCAGAGCATGTCATAGTGCACGGTCAAACTCCTGGTTGGTTGAACTCCTGAGGACAATTTGCATATTAGCCTTTTATTATATAGGATAGTACTCTTATGTCGTTATGCATTTCCAGCAAATACCACTATTCATACACATGCCTTAACTAGAATCTTCCTCACTTCTTCTCTGAGCATCCTTTCCATCCCATGACCTTCTTCTATTGGGGGAACCCAAGCCCTACGCTGTGTAAGAAAGGCAGCTTGGCCTAAGCTGTGCCCTCCTCTTTGCCAGCGGACGTGCCTCAGATTGTTCAAACCCTTCCCAGACCTCACCTCCAGCAACTGCCTGGTTAGCACACCCTTTGTTAGTGCCCCACCTGCTCACATCACAGACTTCCTGGTTCACCCTGTATGTTCTGTGTATCCCTGCCTTCCTAACTCCATCTCATCTTTCTGAATGCACAAACTGTGTGCACCTCTCCGATTCCATTCAGAGCAGGGAACTTATTTAATTTCCTTTGACCCTCCATGGCAGTTAGGGTATTGATCTTTGTGAAATATCAAAATGAACTATGGCTATTATTACAACAAAGACGTTAGGTAGACCCTCTTTCCATCTACATATTACTTCTAATTATTCTCTAGCTCTTCCCTAAAAGCAGAATGCTTTTGCTTGACAATATACGGAAAGGTCTTATTCGTGTCCCATTTTTCTTTAAGAAAAGAAAAATCATTTGACTTTGGTGGATATTTCAATAGGAACATATCAGCCCAGCATGCCCAAGGTAAGGCCTACATAAAATTTTAATTCACATTTTAATGTTTGTAGATGAAAAGCATCTCTTCCTTTAAAAAATAAAGCAGGAAATGCCATGAAAAAAAAAAAACAGGCCCAAGGCAAATGGCCAACAGGGGCTGGTCTCAGTTGCGGTTAGAATGAAACTGACCCTCAGCCTTGGCCCCACCCGTAGGCGGAACAGGATGGAGGGCCAATTGCTGGCTCCCTGACATTCACTTGCGTGGCACCCGCAATAAGGAAGACAGTAAGGGAGCCGGAGCTGTGTCTGACTTACTCTAATTCAAGTCCCTCTGAGAAGCCCTGCAGATGGAGATTCATCAAATCAACGAGATTAGCTGTCAAAATGTCACTCCCCTGTCCCTGCTGCCCTGTGCGTCACAGCGCAGAGGCACGAAAGATGCCGTAAGTCAGACTCGGAGTCCTCCGGGACTGAGGTGGGGACAGAAGTGGCCCGAGCCTGTGAGAGGGGCAGAGCGTGCTCCTGGCCCCACGGCTGACTCTATCTGGACCTGGGACCTCTGTGTGCTAACATCTTCCACGAGGCTAGTTTCCTGTCCTGTGATTATGCACAGGAGGCTAAGGGACAAAATAAACATGCAAAGGCATGCATTGTTAGGCGTAAACTCTCCCCAGGACACACAGGTCTGCCCCTTCAGTAACTTCTCTCTTCTTTCTGAGGTTTTGACAGCACGGTCTAGGCTCAGTTGGGTGAGGCTGAGGGTGGCGTCTCTGTCTCTTAGCAGGCGTGCTCCTGCTGTGGTGTGACATGATTCTTAAAACTCAGCTTGAGACACAGACGTAGACCAAATGCAGAGCAAAGAGTGAAAAACTGTTCCTGCTCAGAGCTTGGGGAACTGTAAGAAAAAAGTATCCATTTTCGGGGTGAATGGGATGTGAAGGAGCATGAGAAAGGAAGGGCTTGTATGCAAACTTCTGCACGTGCAGCCCTTGTGCATGCATTTTAGCTACTCACTGAGAATGAACCTACACAATCCACAAAGGGGGACATGCAAACCTTTCTGGGTTATGGAGATACCCCAGTTCTGGTCTTTTTAGAAAGTCAGGTCTCCCCGAGGGACTGGCTGGCGTCTGAGCCCAGTTCAGTGAGCACAGACTCATCCCGGTTCCCAAGAGGAAAGCATGACACATTCATCGCAGCAGCCAACTCGCCCCCAGGGAGGGCCTGCATGTGCATGGATTTCCATCCCAGACGGGCCCTTATAGCATCCTCTCCACTTAAAGATGATTTAGAAAAAGTTGGAAGGCCCCCCTTTTATTGTTTGAGAAGGAAAGCTCAGAAAGAAAGGCTAGTAACGCAGAAAGGGGTGGCGTCTGCTCAAGCTCCAGCTCCAGTGGAAGAAGCTGAGGGGCAGGAGGGCCCCGGGCGGTACCTGGTCGAGTGGTCAGTCCTCGGTCGGCAGCAGGGCGGGCGTCAACAGGCTCGACTGGGCGCAGGAAGCAAGAGACACGGAAAGCAAACGAGACAAATCGAGATGGTAAGTCGAGGCTCCTGAACACAGAGCAGGCAGGAGCATGTGCAATACACAAGTTATCCAACAAGGAGCAGCTGGCAGAGAACCACAGCGAGTTAATCCTGAGCCCCAGGAGCGGGCGGGGGAGCCCTCTCAAAGGCTTCTGGCTCCCGGGGCCAGGCCCACCTCTTGGTCTTCTCACAAAAGCGCAGAACATCACAGAGAAGCTGGAGGAGGGGTATAGGTTTTCCTCTCAGAGTTTACAGCTGTGTGTATGTGTGTGTTTTATGAGAAATAAGATATATTACACTCAGCCCAGCGGAAAATCTTAAAGGTACCTCCTTTTACTCCTGCCCAATCTTATCTCATTTTACAGTCAGTTAACTACAAAGGACTCCCCGTCCCATCTCCAGGGGAAATGCAAACATGAACTTATCGGGAGAGAAAGGTTTCCCCACATCACCTGCCCTGGAGTGAATCAAATCTGTTTCCAGTGTGAGGGGAAGAGAGAAACCAGAGAGTAAGCCAGCCTGTCTCTGTCTCTTTGCGAAAGCTGGTCTCCACGAAGGAGGTGACAGGCCGGGACATGTGTGAAAGGCGGGCATTTCCTCCTGTGTCTGTTGGCTCGCACAATTCCTCCTGTGCCAGCGCTCTGGGTCCAGCCCAAAGGCAACAGTGCAGGTGGCACAAGGGTGCCCACCATTGTTTGCTGCTGGCTGCTGTTGCCAAAGTGCTTCTGATTCCCAGAAATGTGAACTTGAACTTAGACACACACGGGTCTTGGAAGAAAACAGGCAAAGGAGAGAAACAAAGCTTTCAGGATTAATAAATGGTGAAGGGGCAAAGGAAATCAAAAGAGGGGGGAATAAGGGTGGGAAGATGAGGTGGGGTGAGCATAGATGTCCGTGGATCAGCAGTTAAAGACCATACAGTCCAGCTGGGGTGGCTCAATGGTTGAGCATCGACCTAAACCAGGAGGTCAAGGTTTGATTCCCGGTCAGGACATACACCCAGGTTGCAGGCTCAATCCCCAGTAGGGGGCATGCAGGAGGCAGCCTCTCAATGATTCTCTCTCATTACTGATGTTATGCCTCCCTACCTCTCCCTTCCTGTCTGAAATAATATATATATATATATATATATATATATATATATATATATATATACACACACACACACACACACACACACACACCATGATGGGCACATCCCAGGCATGCAAGGAGGGATTATAAACACAAATCAATTTTGGATGTCACACGTCAGGAACACTGAGGGGAAAGAAAGTGACAGCATGCCAGGTCTTCAAAATATCAGAAAATCATGTTTCTGAGAATACTGAGACGTTTGGATGAATCCAAAGAGAAATGTAGTTTGGTGCTGTCTCCTGCCAACAGGGCATGGTAGAGAATGGACAACAGACGTGATCAGGGGCAAATGGCCCCTTCCGAGGCTGTTTCTTCACATGTGAAATAAAAATAACACCTGCATTGCTAACTGCAGTGAGAAAGAACATTAAATCCTGCTTCGGAAACTCGCAAATACTGTAAAGCCACATTTATGAAATACCCGATTTCTGAAATATTCTGTAACGACTGCTGCGGTGAGGACATCTCATCTCTAGCACTTTGAGTATCAGACGTACGTCCTTCTGCAACTCACAGATACACCTGAGCGATCTCGTTTCTCCACAGTTCATCTTTTCCCTTCGGCTGCAAGTGCAGAGTCAGGGATTTTATTGCTCCTCGTAAAACGGAGTTCACGGAAAGATTATTGTCCTTTCTGAGTGTCCTCACGGGGACCCCAGGCGGTGCTTCGGTGGAAGGCAGGAAGGCCCGAGAGCCCACTTGCCGAGCCAAGAAGTAACCGAGGGGTGAGCACACGGCTCAGGGTCTCGGGGGGGGGGGGGGGGGGGGAGAAGCAGAGTTTGGGGTTTAAACGCAGCCCGAGTAGCTGGCCCAGGCACAGGGTCCCCTTGAATGTCACCACTTATTTTCTGTGTGACCCCAGGCAAGCCATATTCTCCCCGATTCACTGTCTGTCTCAAGTTCAATGCACAGACATGCGGGAGAGCTTTATCAATGGTCAAGCACTATTCCACCATTACTGAAGGCAGTAGTCAGCAAACTCATTAGTCAATAGAGCTGCAGTTTGCCGACCACTGACTTGAGGGAATATAGACAAGTATCAAGTGTGCAGAGAGAAACGTCCAAAAGGTGTAACCACAGAAAACATTCATCAGTGATTTCTGGGTTAGGAGACCGCTCCTGTAAACGTTTTGAATGTGTAGGGTGTTATTTGCAAACAGTAATATAATAAAACATTTCTCTCTCTCTTTCTTTTTTTAGGAAGATAAAACAATAATAGTGTTAGTAACTTAATCCCAGCCTGCTTTCGTAGTTTGGGCCTGATTCAGTATGAATTAATACTGAAAAAAAATAAGTAACTCTTGTGTTCAGTGAGCAGACATCAAGACATATTTTAAAAAGATAATTACGGCATCACTGGGGAAAAACAGAACACACATCGACAAGACAGAGGACTGCATTCTTTCCCAATCTACGACAAACACTCTCTGGTTTTTCAAAGGGACCGTTCCTCATTAAGCCGGAAGGTGATATCGACAGTGTTCAAAACATTTTACATCGGCTGACCAGTCAATTAAAAACAAGAGACAGATCACCTTCAAGAGTTAAACTAAAACAGAAGCAGAAATGTGTAAGTTCTCTGCCTTCAGCAGCTTGGAATTAGAGCCTTCCCTACACGAGGAGAGACACAGAATGATTGAAATTCTGGGCCTTTTGAATCCGTTAGTTCTGGCGTTGCTTGTCATAGACCAATTCTAAGCTCCATGCTGCCTCGCAGACCTCCCCGCGCGGCCCCAGGTGATGCCGGAGTCGGGAGGAAGGCAGTTTTACACAAAGAGAGGCCTGGACAGGGCCGGCTCCCGGGCTTAATCAAAGCCTTTATTAAATCTCAACTTCACCGTGGACGGTGATGTGCTTGTTGCTTTTTTTATGGCCAAGGAAAAGCAGAGCGGAGGGAATGCCATTTTGTGATGATATACTAGCACATGCCATCTTACAAGCCCTGCGGAGCCTCCTTGAGCACAGCCGCATGCTTTATGGATGTGTCACAGACAGAGGAGGATGCTGGCCACAGGGACTGGCTGGTGGCCCCTGCAGTCCGCGGACCTTCTTGGCTGGCCAGCTCCGGCAATCTCTCTTTTTTTTTTTTTTTTTTAATATATTTTATTGATTTTGTACAGAGAGGAAGGGAGAGAGATAGCGAGTTAGAAACATCGACGAGAGAGAGTCATCGAACAGCTGCCTCTTGCACACCCCCTACTGGAGATGTGCCCACAACCAAGGTACATGCCCTTGACCGGAATCGAACCCGGGACTCTTCAGTCCCCAAGCCGACGCTCTATCCATTGAGCCAAACCGGTTTCGGCTCTGGCAATCTTGAGAAAGAACAAGCTCAAGTGCTGTTAACACAAACACGTTCAGCCAGATGACTTCACGATCCACGAGGAAATTGTATTATAAACACCAGCTTCACTCCAGGTGAGAGGGTTCCGCTTTGCGGATTGGAAAAAACACACAATAAAAGCCTCTCCAGGCAAATCGCAGCTGGCCGAAGAGCCTACAATATTGGAAAGCTGTGTTTGTATTATGCTTATCTTTTTTTTTTTTTTTCTCTCCTTCAAAAAAAATTTTAAAAATGCCCTGGTGTCTGACCCTCTCTGGACTTCATTGATTGTGCTTAGAGAAAAAAAAAAACACACATGCCTTTTTGGGGAAGTGTTTGAAGTGACGATGATAAGGACTGCAGGGACAATGGGAGGAAATCCTTTGAGAATGCTGGGTATTTTCAATGGCTCCCTGTGTGAGCGCCTGTCTGTGAGATTAACAGGAAACGGCTCCGGAAAGAGCGAGGAGAGGGAGATGAGGACAGAAAGGGTAAGATGTTAGGACTGGATCAGACTCATTAATCTTCAGGATATACTGTTTGGGCCATAGGATGGTTATCCTTGATACAAGCTGGCAAAACCTCTCTACTAAGATCCTGGTAGTATTTGGAAAAAAACAAACAAAAAACCCCCCCAAAAAACATACCACTAAACATGTACTATGTCCCAGGCACTTTGCTGAGAGCTTTATCTAAGGTGACCAGACGTCCCGATTTTTAACAATTTGTCCCACGGCATTTTAAAAAAGTCCCGATTTTGCACTTTTTTAAAACGCCGCGGGACAAATTGTTAAAAATCGGGACTGTCCCGCCAAAAGCGGGATGTCTGGTCACCTTAGGCCTTTATCTGCCATCTCATTTAATGATCACACCCTAACTTCAATGAACATTTCTACTTTTTTTTTTTTTTTTTTTTTTCTCCCACAGACTAGGAAACAGCAGGAGAGGGGCTCTGTAACTTACCCACAATACACAGCAGAACTGGAATATAAAACTCTGACCTACTTCATTCAGAAGTGGGGGTTGGGGGGCGGGGAGCACTATCCTGTGGGATGGTGGGGGATGTAGAGGTGGTTTGGATTGTCACTAGACTGGAGCACTGGTCGCTTTTAGTAGATAGGGACTGGGGATGCTAGATGTTGGGCACAGGGCAATGCCACAAATCAATTGTCCTGCGTCCTGAACAATTTCTTTCTTTCTTTTTCTTTTTAAAAAAATATATATTTTATTGATTTTTTTTACAGAGAGGAAGGGAGAAAGTTAGAGAGCTAGAAACATCGATGAGAGAGAAACATCGATCAGCTGCCTCCACTGGGGATGTACTTGCAACCAAGGTACATGCCCTTGACTGGAATCAAACCTGGGACCCTTGAGTCCACAGGCCGATGCTCTATCCACTGAGCCAAACTGGTTAGGGCCTATTGACATTCTTTGATCCTGAATTAATACAGAATTTCCACTCAAGTGGGTGCTAACTTCACTCTTTTGGACATTCCTTTTGTTCCAAACACAGAGCGGTGGTAAAGTATAAATCAAAAAATAAAAAATAAAAAGACGTGGTTACTCTCACAAACAAAACCAAGGTCCATGTAGACTAGGAACTGGCAAGAGGCGAGTGAGCTGAGGACCGAAGGCTGTGGGAAGAGAGAGCTGGGAGCATGGCTCTGAGGGTAAATTGTTCCTATCCCCCTGCAGGACATCAGAGAGCTGTATAGACACAAACCAGAATGCTCTTGTTCCAACTGGCCCCTTACCTTCGTTTTCTGTGTTGGCTGGCACAGAGTCAACCCCAAATGGATGCCAGGGCTGGAGCTCGTCCAGGCTGAAATCTCCATTCACGGGCAGAAGCTCCACGGTGGTTTTGGTTTCGGTCAACGACGGCATGAGGGCATCATTCCCGTAGCTGATCCTCGGCTCGCTGATCATGTTGGCCAAGACGTCATCCGAGTAGTTCTGCTCTTTCTGCAGCAGCTCATCTGAAACGGGACAAAGCCATGATCTTACTGAGATCTTACGTCATCCCCTCCACTTTACAGACATGGCAAAGGAGGAACCTGGTAGTGTAGCCACTTGTGCAGTCTTAGCTAGCAAGCGCCCATGGTGGATGTGAGCCCAGGGAGAATGGCTTAGGCTCGGGCTGATGCCCCTTCCAGTGGCGAATGACCTTGAGAGCCAACTTGCTGTTTCCTCCTCTGAGTGGTTCTCCCAGTTAAACTATCATCACCACACACCAACAGTGTGCTCTGGGGATGGGCTAGCCGTGGAGTTGTGGTCCTATGCAGGACAAGCCAAAGGACACACACAGCCAGTGGATCCCTAGTCTTTCCCTGAACACATGCGATGACCAGAGTAGCCTAACAGCTGGGCAGCCTGCTCCATTGTCGAACAGCTCTCATAGTTTTGCCTTGAACAAGTCCGTCTTCCCTAAAGGTTCCCCTGATGTTCTAGGTGACAGTCACAGGCCCCTTGCCCTCTGGCTGTGGCCTTGGACCCATGAAGGTCTGCTTCATCCTCCTCTTCCTGCCCTCCCAATGGGTGTCCTGTGATCTCGAAGCAAACATCCTGCCTTCATCCTCCCTCAGCTGCTTCTTTTTTAAAAAAATGTTACCAGGGACCCACCCCTTAGTCAAAGGGACTAAACATATTCTACTTTAAGGAACATAATCAACTTGGCTGAAGTTCCTGTAGACTAGTGGAAACTTCCAAACCACACATTCCAGCACTGAAATGCATTTTTATAGAGCTTGGAATAGATATAACCTTGAATCGAGTGTAACTAGTGCTTTTAAATCAGGGCATCGCAAGAAAGTGAATCTCCTATTAGGTTGCCAAAGATTCACCAGGATTTCCTGTGCGACGTATTTAAAAAAAAATTACACTCACAAATAGCACATGTGCTATCAATATTAATCAGAATCTCATTTTCCAATCATCCCTCCATCAAGAGTTTACTGTATTATATAGTATTTCAAATAAGTCAACGGTTACTATTTTTGTGGTAGAAAATAGATGCAGGATTTAAATTTGGTTTGTAATATTTTACTACCATCCTTCACCTTCTCTTTTACACTGACAGAAAAATTATCTGAAAAAATTAAAATTCCGCTCAAATATATCTATTCAAACAATTTCACAGAATAGAGTTAAAGCATGAGATTAATATCCTTGTAGGGAGCTGGTTTCTATTGCAAGCTATTATTTTAAGTGATAAAATCCCAAGCAAACCAGTCCCTTTGAAGTCTAATTTGAGTTATAACAGGGATCTGTTCACTGTGGACGCTTCTAAAATTCAGTGTTTGATGCTTGCAGTGATCGGTCCCACACAGATAAAAGGCTCCATTAGATTTCTCCCAACGTTTTCACGTCTCACAGAGTCACAGGTAATGGCCAATAATTTGGCCAGCGCCCCTGGCTTTAATAAATTAAATGGGCATTTCTTTTATATAAATCTTACACTTGTGACTATTAAACACGTAAAATACTAAAGAAGGATCTTCTAGAATGATTATTGGTGCTTCTACAGTTATGCCGAGAGGGATAACCTTCATCAAAATCTGCTTTGGGCTCCATCCGGCATCGTGTTGTTGTTGGTGCCTTTGTGGCATTATCGTAACCTCCGTTCCTTCTCCAGTAGGATGTGCTTTCTCTTTGTCTTGCCTAAACGGTACTAAGCTTGTTTTTTTGTGACTTCTCTGAATAACTCTTCTTGCTCCTTGTTTTCTGCTGTCTTCACCTCTATAATACCTTTCTTGTACCACTTTCTGCAATGCTTCTTTAGAAATCTCATTTACTCTGAAACTGTAAGGATCCTCCCTATGGATGATTTAGAAAGGTATTGCCCCAGCTCTGATCTCTTCCTCCCTCTCTAGTTCTTATATTCCTAACAGTTTGCTAAATCTGTTAATTTATAACATCCATGAAAGGCCCCACTTTTAACTGTGGCAGAACCATTCAACCAGCCACATGTGTGGAACCTTCAGAACCATCTCTGACTATATTTATATCACGCACAACTCCTTCTGATTACATTTCTGGATTCTCTTATCCATCTCTCACCCCCTTCTCCACTGGCCACGTTGGACCATCATTACTGTTTGCCTGGATAATTGTGATGTTCTCCTCATTGCTGTCCCTACTCTAAGTTGTATCCTTCTTGGTTCCCCAGATCTTTCCCTGATACTGAGAAATGGCTCCTCCCATTTCAGGGGTAATGTATATTTGGTTTTCCTTAGTGGAGTTCCTAAAACTTTTGGAATTTAAGTGGTAAGAGCTGTAAAGATGTCTTTTGTTATGTTAATGATATTATTATTATTTTTTTTTTTTTGGGGGGGGAAGGAAAGTCCCTGGGTCACTTAAGGAGTGAGGTTGGTCACCAGAAGAATAACCATGTCATTAGAAGGTTGTAGTTTTCAATCCCATCTTCCAGACCTCCTGGGAGAGGGAAGGAACTGGAGATTGAGTTCAATCACCAATGGCCAATGATTTAATCAATTATGCCCAAATACTGAAACCTCTATACGATCCCCAAAGGCAGGGCTGGGAGAGATTCTAGGTGACGAACAAACACACAGAGATGCAGGGACAGTGATGCCTTGCAGAGGGCATGGAAGCTCAGTGCCTTTTCTCCACACCTCACCCTACGCATCGCTTCCTTCTGGCTGTTCCTGAGTTATGACCTTTTATAATAAACTGCTGATCTAGTAAGGAAAATGTTTCTCTGTTTTGCGAGCCATTCTAGAGGAATAGAACCCGAGAAGGTGGGTAGAACCTCTATAGCTGGTCATCAGAAGCCCAGGTGACAATCAGGACTTGCCATTGACTATGGTGGGGTGAATGGGGATGGTGAGTGGGGGAGCAGTCTTGTGGGCCTGAGCCCTTAACCTAGTATTAATGGGAATAATACTATCTCCAGACAGATAGTGTCAGAATTGGGTTGAAGCGTAGGACACTCAGCTGATGTCGGAGAATTACTTGGGTGTTTTGAGGGGAAACCCTGTCCATGGAACTGGTGTCAGAATCGTACCATCACACCTCTCTCAGACTCAGCATCTTAGAAGTCTTGGTTTATTCCCCAACTGGACTATGCATTCCCAACATGACACCTCTGTGCTCTGTTCCTGCTACCCGAGAAGCCCATCTCTGCTTATCTAGAGAGTATGAACTCTCTCAAGACCACCTCGAATGTCCATCCTCCAAGATTTTCCTCAACAACTTTATGGGAGAGGCCTTCTTAGCTTCATGGGACAGGAGCCAGGCTGGGGGATGGGAATAAATCTCTTTACGATCCCACAGCCTGGAGGCATCAGTGTTGGCATCCAATCCTGGGCTGCACAACACCAGCCTCCCTGCTTGGATCCCCTACCTCTCCGGCCTCCATAGTACCACACACAAAAGGGCTCACTGAGTCACATCAATGGAATGCCCATTTGCTGAGTAAAGGGAAAAACCAGGCAATATAAGTACAGCTCTGCCCCATAATGTCTTCCATTCATATTACAGGCTTCCATTCATATTAAGATATAAAAAATATATCTTAAAGAAATGACTTAAAGCTGACTTAAACACTAGCCCCATGGAATGGTTATTGCTTTTCCCCCCTCAAATAGGCATGTCCCAGGCATGGGAGCTGGAGGGAGGACTGTGCCCACTGCAGCCATGGACGTAAAGAGGCGGAGTAGGCAAGTGTCACAGTGGAAAATATCACGTCTGCACTTCCTGAAACATCCAGGGCATTTCGGGTGGTGGCAAATCAGCAAATCGGAGGGCAGCCTTTTCTCTTTTCTCTCTTAGACAATTGGCAGGAAATTTCCTCCAACTGGCTATTCAAATGCTCAGCCCCATGATGGTTAATTTTCCTGGTTTATTATTATATTCACTTTTAGAAAATGACAGGAGATATTCAAGAAATGTCATTTTTCTTTTTTTCAGAGTGAAAAACATTTAGGTTTTTATTTTTGGTACAAAGTAGCAGAAATCCACATTCCCATGTCAATTAAACACAAGAGATTCAGAAACCACCACCTCTGGTGATCTGATGTGGAACAAAGAAAGTCAGTGTGGTTTTAAGGGACAAAAGGAGAGGCATTTCTGTGAGCTGGGGTAGTATTCAATTTTGGGACAGTCCAGAGCAACCTCGTGATATTATTAAGGGCTCAGGACTATACCGGTGGTTAACGCGATTGGCACTGGGCAATTCTGCCTGTGATAAAAAAAAAAACACAAAAAACCCAGAGCCAAATATGATTATGTCTTTGCTCATTCTGAGTGGGAATTCTGCTTTGAATTCCGTGGTGAGACTAATCATGCAGAAACCGCACTTCTGTGTGGGTGGCCCTGATGGATTATCTTTTCCCTCCGAATTAATGTAATATTTTATTAAAATGCTTTGATGGCATATATTGGGGATCTCCAAAGCTTTTAAGCATCTGCATTTGCCAACTGCCGTGTTACCTCTGGAGTCAAATATTTTCTTCCCTTAATACCCAGGCACATGAGCTCTGCAATTAAAACTGGAAGCATTTAACGGAGTTCCATGATGGTAATATTTAATCTGCAGTTTAAACAATAGCAGAGAGACTTAATTTCAACTACTAAACATCCAGAAAAACCCCTACCCGCTCGCCCTTCCGAAAACGTGTTGAGGATGTATAGTCAAGAGAACAAAACAAAAATGCCTCACCACTCAGCAGTCACTGTAAATATTTAAAAAAATATATCTTAAAGAAATGAACATCAAAAGGAACACCGCATAGCCGTGTCCTCTTGGTCAAATGACTAAAATGTTTTGTTTTGGTAGAAGCAACAGACTTGCATGATTTGGGGAAGAAACAGCCTCATCAAAGAGCTGCCTCAACGGGAAACAGATGAATCCTAATATTATTCTCTTAATCATTCATCGGCCACGTAAGCCCCGCTCCAAAATTGAACTGCCACATTTTAGGATTCAAGAGAATAAAGTTAACCGACGTTACATCAG